ACCTCACCTTTCTATCTCACTGTCTCCTATCGCTTCATACATTTCCCTCTCAACTCATTTTCTGTTTTTTTTTTCTCGTCCGCTGAAGGCCGAAAAGCCGCAAAAGTGGACGTAAAATCCGTTTAATAGAATGAATAACAGTGTAGAATATTTTAGTATGACAACAGCGTTGATCTGTTTCCTGTATGAACCGCCCTCCCTCTCTCGCCGTCCAGTCTAAAGTAACATCAATACGTTGTATGAACCGCCCCTCCCTCTCTCGCCGTCCAGTCTAAAGTAACATCAATACGTTGTATGAACGGCCCCTCCCTCTCTCGCCGTCCAGTCTAAAGTAACATCAATACGCTGTATGAACCGCCCTCCCTCTCTCGCCGTCCATTCTAAAGTAACATCAATACGTTGTATGAACCGCCCCTCCCTCTCTCGCCGTCCAGTCTAAAGTAACAATACGTTGTATGAACCGCCCCTCCCTCTCTCGCCGTCCAGTCTAAAGTAACATCAATACGTTGTATGAACGGCCCCTCCCTCTCTCGCCGTCCAGTCTAAAGTAACATCAATACGCTGTATGAACCGCCCTCCCTCTCTCGCCGTCCATTCTAAAGTAACATCAATACGTTGTATGAACCGCCCTCCCTCTCTCGCCGTCCAGTCTACCATCAATACGTTGAATGAACCGCCCCTCCCTCTCTCGCCGTCCAGTCGAAAGTAACATCAATACGTTGTATGAACCGCCCCTCCCTCTATCGCCGTACAGTCTAAAGTAACATCAATACGTTGTATGAACCGCCCCTCCCTCTCTCGCCGTCCAGTCTAAAGTAACATCAATACGTTGTATGAACCGCCCCTCCCTCTCTCGCCGTCCAGTCTAAAGTAACATCAATACGTTGTATGAACCGCCCCTCCCTCTCTCGCCGTCCAGTCTAAAGTAACATCAATACGCTGTATGAACCGCCCCTCCCTCTCTCGCCGTCCAGTCTACCATCAATACGTTGTATGAACCGCCCCTCCCTCTCTCGCCGTCCAGTCTACCATCAATACGTTGTATGAACCGCCCCTCCCTCTCTCGCCGTCCAGTCTACCATCAATACGTTGTATGAACCGCCCCTCCCTCTCTCGCCGTCCAGTCTACCATCAATACGTTGTATGAACCGCCCCTCCCTCTCTCGCCGTCCAGTCTACCATCAATACGTTGTATGAACCGCCCCACCCTCTCTCGCCGTCCAGTCTAAAGTAACATCAATACGTTGTATGAACCGCCCTCCCTCTCTCGCCGTCCAGTCTAAAGTAACATCAATACGTTGTATGAACCGCCCCTCCCTCTCTCGCCGTCCAGTCTAAAGTAACATCAATACGTTGTATGAACCGCCCCTCCCTCTCTCGCCGTCCAGTCTAAAGTAACATCAATACGTTGTATGAACCGCCCCTCCCTCTCTCGCCGTCCAGTCTACCATCAATACGTTGTATGAACCGCCCCTCCCTCTCTCGCCGTCCAGTCTACCATCAATACGTTGTATGAACCGCCCCACCCTCTCTCGCCGTCCAGTCTAAAGTAACATCAATACGTTGTATGAACCGCCCTCCCTCTCTCGCCGTCCAGTCTAAAGTAACATCAATACGTTGTATGAACCGCCCCTCCCTCTCTCGCCGTCCAGTCTAAAGTAACATCAATACGTTGTATGAACCGCCCCTCCCTCTCTCGCCGTCCAGTCTAAAGTAACATCAATACGTTGTATGAACCGCCCCTCCCTCTCTCGCCGTCCAGTCTACCATCAATACGTTGTATGAACCGCCCCTCCCTCTCTCGCCGTCCAGTCTACCATCAATACGTTGTATGAACCGCCCCACCCTCTCTCGCCGTCCAGTCTAAAGTAACATCAATACGTTGTATGAACCGCCCTCCCTCTCTCGCCGTCCAGTCTAAAGTAACATCAATACGTTGTATGAACCGCCCCTCCCTCTCTCGCCGTCCAGTCTAAAGTAACATCAATACGTTGTATGAACGGCCCCTCCCTCTCTCGCCGTCCAGTCTAAAGTAACATCAATACGCTGTATGAACCGCCCTCCCTCTCTCGCCGTCCATTCTAAAGTAACATCAATACGTTGTATGAACCGCCCCTCCCTCTCTCGCCGTCCAGTCTACCATCAATACGTTGTATGAACCGCCCCTCCCTCTCTCGCCGTCCAGTCTACCATCAATACGTTGTATGAACCGCCCCACCCTCTCTCGCCGTCCAGTCTAAAGTAACATCAATACGTTGTATGAACCGCCCTCCCTCTCTCGCCGTCCAGTCTAAAGTAACATCAATACGTTGTATGAACCGCCCCTCCCTCTCTCGCCGTCCAGTCTAAAGTAACATCAATACGTTGTATGAACCGCCCCTCCCTCTCTCGCCGTCCATTCTAAAGTAACATCAATACGTTGTATGAACCGCCCCTCCCTCTCTCGCCGTCCAGTCTACCATCAATACGTTGTATGAACCGCCCCTCCCTCTCTCGCCGTCCAGTCTACCATCAATACGTTGAATGAACCGCCCCTCCCTCTCTCGCCGTCCAGTCTACCATCAATACGTTGTATGTTGAATTTCATTATGCTTCGGGTTGATCTTTATAGTGTCATTTAAGCTTTCCTTAGTTAAAAAAATACGATGATGAAAATATCCCAAGTAGTTATAAAAGTAATGTGTCTTATCATATTGCCTATTATTAACATAAGATCAGGTCTCTAAGTTCAGACTATCCATTAATGGGTACGAGAAGGTCACTTCAATGAAATTTTATCTAATATAGATAAAAAAACAACCACACAGTAATCGATTAAAAATTTAATGAATATTATATACATTGTACATATACAAAATAACGACATTTTTCTACAGGAAATAGTAAATAGATCTAGATTGTGATATGTGTAATGAGTTGACATTGCCCATTGGTATTACGACTGGTTACTGAGTTACAACATTCATTCGGCTGTTTATTTGTAGATTATGTACCAGAACGTGCAAACACATCACTAAAGCGAATAACAATGATGTTTACACATGTAAGGTAGCTATAAGAACTCTGATCTACAGAAATACATGTCCACCTTTTCATTGGTGTTGTTTGAACTTTAAGTAGTGACCTGCCATATGTTACAGAGGTCATTATTTATTTCAATGCCTCCGCTAGGATTTGAACCCAGGATCTCTGGCTTAATTAGTCTCTGACACTCAATCGATCGAGCTACAGAGAAGTTCTCTCTAGCCGGGCGGTATTTTGCGGCTAGAATTTTACCAGTTTGTCGAACATTCCATATATCTTTGTGTTAGAATTCCCAAAACGACAGGAAACCATGGAATGTAAATCATCTGTCTTTATTCACATTAATGCACCATTACAAATGTCTGGTGTCGTTCGATTAACGTCGGTTTAGGAATCCACTAAATGTTTATAGTCAATATATTTTTTGTGTAAGTTAATTTATTAGGGGTCACAGCACGTAACTACAGGAAGCAATTAATCAATAGTCAGATGCATTTTCATATATGAATGAATCGAATCAAAAATGAAAAATACCACGGAATGAAGTATCAAAAATCATAGACACCACGGAATGAGGTATCAAAAATCAGAGATACCACGGAATGAAGTATCAAAAATCATAGATACCACGGAATGAAGTATCAGAAATCATAGATACCACGGAATGAAGTATCAGAAATCATAGATACCACGGAATGAAGTATCAAAAATCATAGACACCACGGAATGAGGTATCAAAAATCAGAGATACCACGGAATGAAGTATCAAAAATCATAGATACCACGGAATGAAGTATCAGAAATCATAGATACCACGGAATGAAGTATCAGAAATCATAGATACCACGGAATGAAGTATCAAAAATCATAGATACCACGGAATGAAGTATCAAAAATCATAGATACCACGGAATGAAGTTTCAAAAATCATAGATACCGCGGAATGACTTTTCATCGTTGCGTCAAATACCTTTTGATAACATCTTTCTGCAAAGTCGCAAACACTTGGACGTTTTAGAATTCAAGGTAAAGTAATAACGTGTTCCTTCTTATACTTATTATACGATACCTACTTACAAAGGTGGGATTTTTCAAGATATACAATGGATGACTTAATTATCATATTAACAATATGAAATACTCAGAACTTATCTAAAATCTTAACAATAACGAAATTTAGAAATGTTGATGAATCACGGACATTTTTGATATTGTATTAATAGTCGGTATGAATGACACCGCTTTTCAAGAGAACATTTCACGTTTGTTGTATTATTTGATGTCACTGCAATGCACGCTAAATGAAGTTATTTATAACCGGCAGCACGAGCCATTTAACATATATACACAGTCTCTTTTTCCTGGATTCCAACAGTAATATCACAATGATCACGTGAGCAATGCCATTAAAATTCTAATGCCACTGGTGTAAAGTAGAACATAATGATGTAAAAACAAAGCGATTACGTACTTAAGATCATAATTTCACAGAAATTAACAGGCTGGTAATTTTGCCTAGGATCTGCTATAATCCAGACCAAATTTCGATATGATATACTGCATACTTAGATATGTATATTATAGATAGCTGTAATCTGTGGTAAATATTTTGAAGAATGAAGCAGGGTCTATGGATGGCGAAGACTTGGTATTTAGTACTTATTTATTGAGCACAGGACACTGCATCATGGAGCTCCTCATTTTCTTGTCGTTTTTGTCCTGTCCAATGTTTAGGAGCACTGATGGTTACGTAACTTAAAAAGTTCACAATACGGGTTAAGAAATGAAGAATTTGACAAAGAACATAAACACAAACGTCTGGTTACCATTCCAGACAAAACATTGATGTTAACTGATATCACATGCTGTCCCTATATCTTCACGCTTACGAAAGACCTCATCTTAATAAATAATCATAAGGATATTAATGGTTTGCATAGAGTTTGTAAATGTCACAGAACTAATTCTTAATCTCGTCACATGTGTGTTGATATTGGGTTGTCGACACCATACTTCCTAGCTGGTTCAGGCTCGTACATCTTCACTTTATCACTGCCGTCATTGGGACCCCAGGCATCAGTTGGTGTAGTTATCTTTCGTAATTTCTACAAATAATAACAAATATTTCATAACACCTCTAAATTATCATATAAAATTAGAGTATGTCATTGATTTACTCTTTGTCACCTAAAGTTTCTGTTGACACGATAACGCCTTTAAGCATCACGGAGGTGTAATGGTGATTAATCAATTAATGATATTTAAGTCTTTAAATAGCATAAAGGTAAGATTTATCCGTTTGAATAAAAAAATCGGACACATATTTCAGAATGTAGTTGTATAAAAATATTAGAAAGTTATTAATAAATCGTCATCTTTTATTACTATAAAAAGGATTTCTTTCGATGGTTCAAATGTGTGTATTCTCGAAATATTCACATTAACTATATAAAGTTTAAGGAAAGCAGATTTTCAAATTTATATACAATTCCTCTGAACTTATCGCTATTCATGCCTGATAATGGAAAGACTGAAACAATGTGACGCTGACTGACCTTTACAAAGGACCCTTCCGTGCGTAGGAATTTGTATACGAAGTAGATGGGGATAGGACACATGACGAAAGAGGTCAGTGCCCAACCAATGGACTGCGCATACTGTGGGTAGGGCACGCCATCCGATATCTCAATAGGTTTGTACTGTACCATACGGTATATAAACAATGCCTGTAACATAACAGATATGTATATAGATCTCTTATTACTTTTAATTCCTTTATTTCATTGCACAACCATGAAAATGATAATTTTGGCGAGCATCTATCGATCTAAAAAATGACATGTTTCGTGAACAAATTCCACAAATTTTCACCTCAATATCATCTAATATTTCTCATACTAGACTACATTATTATATCAAAATACCATTTAACGTTATTTTACCACGAAGCGCGAATTGACCACTTACAGCCAAAATAGGGATATTTCAAAATTTAGATGGTAAACAGGAAAAGCATGAAGCGTGAACACCTAGTATATATTTTGAAAGTTTGAGTAAGTTGCGATAACTGTGGATTACAGGCGATACCTACCGCGATAAGGATGGGCGAGCAACCGATCCAACAGAACAGCCAGTACCATGTAGGACGTGGAGGATATCCTAACATGTATTCCACATTCTTCATAAATCTCTTGGCACCTTTAAAAAATATCAGGATAGATCACACAATATAGATGATACATTTTCTCATACTGATAAAAAATCTACTACGTTATTGTTTAATGTGACCATTATCAGCAACATCCCTAACCTATGATGTTTACATACCGCAGTTGATTCGATATTAAAGGGCCTGTTCCTATTATCACGAAATTAGTGCAAGAAGTCATCATCTATTATTTGATGGATAAACGCGTAACACAGGGTTTCAAACGATGGAGATTGATGAAAATGATGCGGAAGTTTTACAGTAGTTTTAGTGATCTCATTGAGAAATATTGTTTTTCTTTCTATGACATAAACCTGGACGTGTTTGATACTCTTTAGTTTACATATCGGTTAAATTGCTGTGTGCCTTGTTCCCATTTGCGAACGTGACATCACCTACTTGGATTGACCAAGATTTACATGGCGGGTGTCGACGATGAAGTAGAAGACGTTTACTTTTCCGGAACAACTGGTCTTATTCGCCTTATCCTTATTAAGGAGTGTCTGTGTAAAGTTTTCTTTTGTTCATATTTTGCACTAATTGTATTGAATTTGAGTTTGTATTATGATTATGTTAACATGGTGTTTTCTTGTTTATTTTTTAGCCCTGTAACGAATAATGATTTGTTACTTAAAACAGCTGATGGTTAATCGGTATGAGGTCTACTTACCATACACCCACATGACCGCCACACATTCGCAGGAAGCAACAAATAGCACTGAAAAGTCAGCTCCGTAATGATCCATCAATCCCACGATGTAGTCCCCGGCCTAGTAGGAATGAGGTAAATTGATAAAAAAAATATTTCAAAGGGTCTTTGTTCCACATAGCAATAATACTAGTGTAAAGTAACATCAAAAGTAAATGATATATAATGTCTTTTTTTCTGTTTGAGATATATTAAACATATTGCACACTGATATCTCTCATTAGCCCCAAATAGTTCACGTTAGAGGAAACATATGTACCGATAAAAAACTTGTGTAAAAGATTTCACACTTTTTTTTCAAATTTAAGATGGAATTGGATCCCACACTGTATCATTTTAACATAATTGATGAAAAATAAGAAACAGTGCTACTAAATATTTGGAAGATTCAGAAACTGGTTACATCTGGTAAAATTAGCGGAAAATTACCGGTGTTACACATGGTAATGCGAGGAAGTATAAGGCAATTCCCAGACCAACACACATCTGACTTTTATACTTCCTCAGATGTGGGAACTCGTCCTGGATACAAGTAAGTACGGTTTCTAACAGAGCGAACTGCAACATTCAACATTATGTATCCATCATTGACAACTGCTTGTAAAGAATAATTTATTCATTTCATGTCCAATATCTCACAAATGTATTATTTCCAATATAAATACGATAAAAATTCGGTGCAATGGAATGTAATCACATTTATATGTAGAAACATGAATAAAATGTTTCATTTATAATTTCATGTAATGATTGTTACAACTACAGAATAATGATTACACAGATAAAACGTATTTTCCTGCCTACCTCGCTGTCCAGACCCAAGGTAAATAACATAAAGAAGAACAGGACAGACCACAGTTGGGACGGCGGCAGATTGGACAATGCTTCAGGATAGGCGACAAATGCAAGACCGTATCCTACAGATAAATCAAAACTCATATACAACATTTTTACCTAAAAACTGGATTAAGGTTGATCGGTTCCTTTATAATACATAACAGATATGTGAATATATGTGGTTTTAGAAGTGCACTTTATACCTTTTGTACTACAAATGATTTACATATCATGCACATGTATGTTTTTTTCCCATGTTATGTTCGCGGAGGTTTTAATTTCCAAGAGAAACAATTCCAAAAAGACGCACTAGCCCATTGATTAAATAAATATCTGACAAAAGCGTCAAGTACATGTATATCCAGAATGGTGCCAATAGGTAGTGGAGTAGTAACAATTTCCTCGGTGTCCTAGGTAACAAGGACACATACCGGGTATCCTTTAAACAAGCATCCTCTGTAGAAATTTTCAAACATTTTCTATCGGCCTGATATAATTAATGAACCAGGCATAATCGTAGGCTATTACCTGACTTAGCGACGTCCTCCACACCCACTCCGATCTCCTTCGCCATTCCTCCAAAGGTGGTAAAGATAACGAACCCGGCAATAATGCTGGTTACTATATCCATCACGGCAATCAACATGGCGTCACTGTCGAGACAATAGACAAAGTTAAATGGCAATATGATTATATTAACTATTGTTATTATGTTACGGAGGTTTATCACTCATTAACAGCCAAGGTTATCCTGAAGCCCAAGTTTGATTTTCCTCAATCTACTTCTAGGCTTCAACATCTAAGTCCTTAGCATCATTGATGAGTCATGGAATGACCATATTACTGTAGGATGCGATTTAATTCGTCGTTTGGCTCTACCCGATCTTATTCTGAATTTAATTAAAAGATGCTACCGACTCGGTTTAAAGTACATCACGTCATGGAAATTCCTCGTTACTATATTTAGACGAGATTATCAATTTGCGATATTAACCTCTCTTGCAGAAATTTGCCTGTTTCATGTTAACATTGCATTTTATCGAAACCTGTGGGCAACTGAAGAGAGGAGAGGTATTTTCCCGTCATATAACAAAATATAATTAGAGGTAATGATATTTGGTTATCTTTTGGATATCAACATACAGAACGGGTAATACTTGTATTAGTCTGCCAGTTCTGAACAACAGTTGGACTAATATTTACTTCGGTATGTCACAATTAACGTTTTACAAAACACATTCACATCCAAATATTTCATAACGAAGATGTTCATTCATCTATAAACGCCCACCGTCTGTGTGAACTCACCCGTAAACGTTATTGCTGAATTTGTTATAACTTCCAAACATTATTATACCTCCAAAAGATACACTGAGAGAGAAAAACATCTGACCAGCTGCTGCAACCCACACCTGCAAAATTGAGTAGAAATATCAAAATGTACGTCCAGAAGCGGTTACAATGACCGAAAAAATGTTATTTCTGTGTGGTGTATTACATTTCAAAACATCCCAATTTATTTAATATAACGATATAACTGACAAACGAGTAGAAGATTGATTCATATTATACTTCTGAAAAATAGTGATAGTTTGATTTTTATGTGGTTTTGGTATTCTCTATTCTGATAATGACACATGTCTATTTGAGCTTATAATTCTATATCATTCTTCGCTCTACTATTGACAAATTAAAATGATCTATTCCAGTTGATTTCATTAATACGTTATGACCCTTACGTTGACATCCAATAACTTTTCCCACTTAGGGACGATAAAATAGATAACACCGTCAATAGCTCCATCCAGGGTAGCTCCCCGAACCAAAAGGATCAGCAAGATAACATAAGGAAACGTGGCTGTGAAATACACAACCTGAAAATAAAACGTCCATAGTGTCAAATTCATAGTTAAGATTGGTGTGGACATTAACAGTCATTTCCAAGGCTTTACGATGTAGGTCCTTAGCGTTAATGATGTGATCTTAACTGACAAAGGCTGCTGTATGATGCAGTAAAGTTCTTTTATTGGTTACGTTGTACCTTACCTAGAACTATTTGTATTGACATGTTTTATATACTGGTGTGTCGTTTGTACAATCCTTTGATAATTTTAGCGGAACTTTGTTTCCACAGGTTTGATGTAACCTGCATGTCCCGTTTTTATAAATATATGTATGGTGGCGCTGATCAGAATACATATTCTTTTAGAATGATTCGATATCGAAAAAAACTATATTTATTGAAACATATGGTTAATGCAGCTCCCTATCTGGTTTTGGAAATTCATTCCAATCATTAGGAAACATCAGTACGATTCAGTTTTAGTTCATTATTAGGCTCTACAGCATCTCCACATTTGTTGTGAATGGTGTGTTGAATTGTGTGGGCTTTAAAGTAACGAATCATGTAGTCCAAGTTAATAAGACTGTTTTGTAGGTATTATCAACAAAGTTATAACCGATCTTGTTGTAATGTTCGGTGTAAACATTAAACATATTAGTCAAAAATAAGAATGTTCTAAGGACAAACGCACGCTTGCACATAACACCGTTTGCTGATTAATTTGATTCGATATTTTGTAAACAGAGAACTGACTAGTAAGGTTACATCCTACATATGTTTTGATTACATTACATTAAATATCAAAATATGATATATCAAAATATTGTTAATATCTAGTTTAGGTATTACAATGACAACTATGGAAGAATTGGTGAAAAAGTGATATTATAAAGTTCATTATGTGAATAAAACAACCGAACACGTCAAAATTAAGTATGCATAATCGTCATCTTTTAATAGTATCAATGGAGTAATATAACTAATATATGTAAGTCAGATAGGTCCTGGTAACAAGGCGACAGGAAAGCCATGGTAAAGCAATATTTCATACATTCAATACGTACCTTGCCGGAAGATTTAACTCCTTTGATCAGACAGAGGACGACAATTATCCATGACATGAGAAGACATAGGGCAAGCTTCCACAAGGGGGCGCCGATGTTATCGTTGCTCAGAGTTGGAGTCTTGTCGAGAACATCACGACTACAGAACACCAAAACATAAGATTATTTACTTCGAATATTTAGTAATATAAATCGGATATATAGTTTAACATGTTATAGAGGCGTCCACAGTAAGTCACGAAACGCTGATCACAAAGCACACAAAATGTATTTGGAATTCCTCAAAGACTTGTTTTTATTATATATTGACCAAACAAAATGAAGTACATCATGTGAACACAAGTATTTTAGCGCTTTGTGTTGTGAAAGTATTGTGGTAAGTTAGGCATGCGCACGTCGCATTTTCTGTCTGTTGCTTATAAAGCAATTCTCGTGCATAGAGAAATTTATTATTGTGCTAATGTTTCAAAAACAATAAAATGTGCTGAAATTTAATATCGCCAAAATAAGTTATAACCAGAAAAGAAATCATTTGAGAATGGAAGAAACAAATATGGTATAAACTACAATGGACATATCTTTTACGCATGATACAAGCTACATTTGGGCACAAATGGCCAAACAGTGATTTACAAAACATGTTTTAATGATTCAGGGTTATTTTTGTCGTCACGATGACAACTTACTCGAAGAAGAACTGTGCTACAGGGATGGGTGAATCGCCTTGGTAGGTGGCATTAGTGCAGTTAAATCCTGCGTCATATAGGCTGGTGTCGAATGTGGAGTTGCCAGTACAGCGACATACTCCCAAAGCCTCATTAACAGTCACGTTAGACACACAATAGGCCATTTTCTTCACCGTCTGCTCCACACATCCTTCTGGCAGCCATTCCTGATAACACACATTGTAAATTCAAGCTAGAATAAAGTTGATTATTCTGATTGGTTTTAATTTCTGGTTATTTATTAGAATGTTATAAAAACAAGTAGACTTAGTAAAGAAAACTCTTGTCCATGTTATGACTGCAGTTCTTTTGAAATTCTCAGATATATAAAAATTAAGTCATGCATTAAATTATGGAGCATGTGTATCTCCACATTCTAAATTTTGGATTTCTTAGTCGCCTCAAAATAAAGACCCTTAACCTATCTGACGAGTTCTAGAAGGATGAAACAGCTGTATGATGCAAACCATTATTATCGGACTTAATTGAGTATAATTCTAAATTTTTATTGAAAGGTGCTATTCACTTGTATCTCCTTCAATCTGTTGGTAGAATTGGGAAACTTTGTACCATTGGATAACATTCTTTACAAAACATAAAGTGTTGTCAATGCTGTATATTCAGTATTTATAAGAAAAGGATGTTATATTCCTCATACACAATTCTTGTAGATTACGTATGTTTTTATTCAATATGTGTTTTAAGAAATTTGATAAACATATCGAGACCCAGATTTCACCATTCTGACAATAAAGGTTGAACGAGCGTCAGAGAAGTAATTATGAACATATTTAAACCAAAAAGGTCGCTCGATATTTTCAATCAGGAAACATTTCCTCAAGAGAATATTTCTCCGAAGCTGGAGGTTAAGTTTCTACTTACTGGTTTACAGACTGTCCACGGCAATGTCTTCTGCATTGAGGAGAAGAAGTAGAAGAGGGTGTACGCCATGATGACGTTGTAGTATATAGCAACCACCAGTGAAATAAGCGCCATAGATATACCAATACCTGTTATCAAATAAATTATCAGTTTCTTAGATGATTTCAACAAGGTTCTTTTTAAGTATATCGCCAGGAGGGACATACCAAACACATATACAATTTTACATGGAGCTAATCATCTATGTTGTTAAGTGAAGATTTATTTTCATCACAAAAATATTTTCTGTGCTACGGAAACGGTCGTGATATGTGCGAGTATTGATATTTTCAGCAATATTGTTATCCATATGAATAGGTTAAACAACGTGCAACCTCTTATCATAATTGTTTATATGTGAACGTGCCCACTTCAAATGGACGACTCGATGAATTCTTCCAGATTACAAATGTAACAATATATCTATCTGTTTCTGAGGTTCGAAATTAAGCTGGATCGTGTGTACAATAATAAAACCTAAAACGTGCTATGTTTACAACACAAGTTGTCATGGTTTTCGTCTTGTTTAAACAGTCCTAGATGTTAATATTAAACTATTGATTTTGTACGGTACATCCGAATGTCACATCTGCTATGGTTGGTAAAACCCTTCAGGCAAATGAAAATTAAATATCTAATACACATGTACATCAGCTGTCAGATTTTGATCAATGCTGGAGAGTACAGATTAATCCGCTGTCATCTATTAATCTATACACTTATTATGCCAACTACAATTTATTAAAATATAATCTTGATATTTTAATTACATACATGATTAACTCGTATGCGTCATATGCTAGTTAGATGATTTAAGAAACAATATTTGATCTACTGGCCTTACTGCAACATTTAGGACATATTTGCAACTTTATTTTCACTTTCATTCTTTTCAGTTTAGTCTGTTTTGTTTATCTAATAAAGATAGTTCATTAACTTTTTATCGATATCTTGTATCTGGGAATTTGATTTGGAAAATATCTATGGCATTGCTACAAGCAGGTGTGTATTTCGATAAATAAAGACTGTGGTTTGTACTCATCCCTTTTGCGTGTTACATCCTGGTATTTTGGTTTTAAGGGGCTGTTTCACAGTACTACTATTGTACTGACGTAAAACCGATGTACTCATACCTTTGGCACACGGGTTCATGTTCCAGACGGCTGTGGGCCCCTTGCCAGAATACTGTCCCATCACAAGTTCCATAAAATACATAGGCTTTCCAATCAGGAACTGAAGCACCAGATATGCTATCACAAAGGCAGCTGTAAAACAATAGATAGTAAGTAAAGGAGAATTTGGCCAACATTCGTGAATCGTAGTAAGTTTAGAGACATAATTTTCTTCAGTAAAATACAGCTAGAAAATAAAAGTCATTTGAAATGCAGACAAGAGACAACAATAAATACAGAAATAATTATTCTTGGGTTACCATAGAGACAATTTCAAATTCGATGATTTAAGAGCAATCGTTTCTGATAGCACCAATATATCTGTTGATTGTGATAGAGACTAATATATCTGTTGAAGAAATTCGGTTACATTCTGTAAACGTCTCCAGTGGTGACTGAAATTTCTTAATACAAATAATGTAAACGAAGTTTTTATTAGAAGCCAAAATACTTTTTTTCTAGAAAATTTAGATAGTAATAAAGATTACTTGTCAGAAGAATACCGGTATTCCTATGAATATATTATTGCATGTTATGATGTAGTTATAAATAGATCGTTACAATGTCCAACACAGAGAAGGCATGGTAACAAATGGCTTTGTAAACACTTTATAGGGATCTATTTCATGCAAAAGTTTTATTTGGAAATCAACTTCTTTTTCATTGCTTATGGTGGAAAGGGTACAAGCAACAATGCGAAAGTACAAGTCAATCACGTGATGTAAGATTATAAACAGGACACCGTATAACACTACCTAACTTGTATTACTGACACATCAGTTCATTAATTTACAAGGGCATGCGCTAGTTTATATTTTCATTTCCCTGTGAAATCCTCAGGTAATAATCCTCAGACTATTTCAAACGTAATATAATGTATCAACTTGCGTCACATTTTCCTTCATGTTAATTGATTCGTTTTATAGAGAATTTCTCGTGAGCTTTTATTCATATGAGATTTTTGAAATGAGTCTGAGCATTTTCAGAAATCTTATTTTTTGCTATTATCATAATATTAATGCTCTTTGCAAATATTTGAGAACACAACCATTTATTGGAATGAAACAAAATCTAATATTCCCACTTTACACAGTTCTCTTTGATGACGTCATAATGCAGATGACGTCATAACGTTATGACGCCATAATACTAACAGAATGATAATATCGAGCCAATAAAAGGTCCAAAGGTCATATTACACATGTGTACTTGCAATACAGTACACATGTATCTATTTTGTGGGTGCCAACAGAGCAGTTTTAATCATGTACGTTCTTGTCTGCTTTCAATTAGCTCTAATGCTGATTGAGTGTCCCTCTTAAACGTTAATGGCGAGTTCTTGTTTATATATAGCACTGTTTGTATCATGCTAGATAAATGTCACATACATGTCTGAAAGATGTTAACTGATCAGAAGAATAGACGGTATCGACATCTTCCGTTGTCATGGTTCGCTAAACTGCCTCCGGCATTTGGCAAAATGATAAATTGTGGATTTGAAAAAAAAAGAAACTTGATGGAAATAGTATTGTTTACGTGCGTTGGTCTATTGTTTCGTATAATTCCACGATTAAGCCTAACATTGCCCGCGGATGTTTATAATAAATGTTTACCTTGGCTTTGTTTGACGTGTGGAGTAGAATACCAAGCATAACTGTACAGTCTCGCCTTTATCTTAATTTTGTATTGTGTTTTGAATTGAAAAAGTTTTAAACTTCTTGAAGCACAATAGATTACTAAATAAAGAATTTGATATTTAATACAAACGGTCGACGCTATCAATAGTTGACCAATAGACCATCACTCCCTGTCCACTGTTGAAAAAGTACGTTTTTGCACGTGCTGAATATCCAGGGACATATTACATGTGTCTAATATATCCACCGGAAGTCAAAATATTATGAACGTACAAACATATACTAAATTTCACGCTATCAAATTTCAGCGCATCATCACTTTTTGGCAAATCAGCGCAATGATGAATTGGCGCATACACAATAATTGTTATGCAATCGTTAATCAAAGACTAAATTTAATGCAATCATACTTTAACTCAATACATTCAGAGGAAAGGGCGCTAAAATAAGATTACCGCTGAAATTGGTGTGTTTACAGTAACAGTAGCTTGAGATAGACCACTATTATCACAAGAATCACCCAGTGTAATGTCGACAGAGATATGTCTGGGTCTCATATCAAGAAAGATTACGAGGTTTTCCTACGAACTGAAGCTCAAAATTCTTATCCTTTTTATCATCATCGCGATTTCTCTGTCTAAATCATCGGGAGCGATGAACTATTTTTCCTTTAGTTCCGTTCCATTGATATTCGGCGATTTAGTTAAGAAAGTGATTCATGTGCTGACAGATTGACAAAGTGATGGGAACACTTTACCTCCGCCATTGTCGTATGCTAGATAAGGGAACCTCCAAACATTTCCGAGACCCACAGAGAGACCAATACAGGACAGGATAAACTCCCACTTGCTTCCCCATTCTCCACGATCCTCTTCCGGTTCACCAGAACCTGTGAGGTCACCACTTGACTCTGTTACCTGACTTCCATTGTAATAATTGGAACCCTGAAAAAGACAAAACAATAGAGTTTAATGGAATGAACAAATAGATTACCAATGTAACTGTGTACTCTGTTGACCTATACTAGTTAGGCATGTTACAATGTTTATTATGTTAAAATATTTGTGGAGATATCATCACCTATATTTCGGTGCTGTGGCATTTCTGAATCGTCTAAAATCATTTGTGGGTAATTGTTGTCACTGTGTGATATTGTTTGTGGTCATTAGACCTAGGTCCTGTTGATTTGTCACTTGTAACATAGAAAAGGCTGCTATTTTAAAGGATTATGATTTTTCGCGTTTTGGAGCTTAAACAGCGAAAATTTTAACAAGAAAAAAACCCTTAGCAGTAGGATTCATTTCTCTTCCTTGATAAACGTCTTCAGTAAAATATTTGAATTTCCTTCCTACGCCGTTTATAAGATTCGTTTGTCATAGGATTACTGATATTTTCCCTCCGATATCACCCATCTTCAGATGATTGCATTGTACATTACATTGCATTACATAGTAACCTAAATTATAACGCAATGCTTGAAAACATTAGTGATTATCATCGGAAATCTTAATTGTCGCGTTAATATTTTGTTTTTAAAGTTATATGTACGATACACAAAGCGATATTATACAAAATAGAATTAATACAAACGCTTACAATTTTTTTCAGTGCTCCACGGTCAGACTTGAAAGACCCACAAATGAAGTTTATATCATGCAATCACAAATTGAATGTATATCAACAAAAATCGGCAATAGTATTCATCGTCATCATGTTACTTATTGTGTAAATCAATTCATTAATCATTCCTGCACATGCATTTTTTATTTCGTGTGAATAATCTCCTTAGTGACGACACGAATGAGCAGGTGTCTTTTTGTTCATGGACGAGCTACCTGTACCTGTTGTGACGTGATGTATGTATCTTTCAATCAAATGTCGTTTTACTTTTATGGCTTAGGGAATCATTAGCATTAATGATATACTGAGTAGGTCACCACGTGTCCCTGTACTGTCTTAGTTTCCTTTACTGATTACTCTAGCTAAATACACATTAGGAAACATATCTGGTGATTCCGACATTTCTTTCTGTCATTATTGTAAACCGTGGTAATTTCTCATTTAGTTTGCCTAGCATTCAGTGAATATAACACTGAAATGTCTTTATAAACGAATTTGCGTAATTCTACCTTTTCTGACGCCAAAGTAGGACAACGAAATGACGTCGAATGCATTATGACATCACAATGAAGACCATAGCCATAGCTTCAAGATTTCTCCAAAAATAGAACTTCTATCTCAACACACTGAAGAATTGTTCAAGATTGATGGTAGAGTTTTATCAAATGGCGGATATCTTTCTTTTATATATATATATATTTGTTATTTGTTTGTTGTGATTGATCATATCTCAAATGATCTAATTAAGCGATAACATCAAGTGAATTAAGATCTTCGACTCCGAAACTACCTTACTCTGTAACACACTATAAAAATCACCTAAAACAAGTTATAAAAATACGTTAAGGGTTTAGTACTTTCGTTCCTCTACTTTTTACATATGTGGAAGACGAGTTGGATTTGTCCCTGGTGACAAGGTAAACGAACCTGATGCCATAACCATGTAAATATTTTTTTATATTTCAGTCCTGAATAATTGTTACTATATCAACAGATGCACTTTAAGGACAGTTGATATGTACCTAACAATGATCGCAAATATAGACTCTCGACAAATAGTTGACGGTCGGTCTTGTCAACACTGAACATCTGAACACACATCTTGTTGGTTTCAATGTATGCAAAGTCATGTGTGTTGTGTACGTCCTGTCTCATTGACGCCTTAATTATGCATGAACACACACCGCTACACCCAAATAAATCCAAACCGATGAAAGACACGTATTAGTCACGGCTTAACATTCTTCCTAACTTCCTTACCACAGGTCTGCTGTATTTCTTCATGTTTTTGTTCTTACGAATTTCCATCATGATGTATGACCTAATATACAATTATAGCGATCAATCAGATTTCGATAGATCAAAGGATCTTTAACTCTATTTCGTAACGTGTTTATTTTCAACAGTTTCAGAAGTTTGTTGACTCGATTTAAACTCTCTTGGTTATATGAATTATTGTTTGTTTGTAAATCTTGGCTCTCCTAAACTCTCTACCCCTCCCCTACACACACACCACAGGTCTTCGAGACAGTTTTACAGTTTTAATGAGAAAGTTCATAATATAACCATGGTGAATTGATATGTTCCTTATAAACATACGGCTGATCATTGTAAACATTGAAGAATCGGTTTTGCAAACAATTAATGATGTCTGCGTATAAAATTTCGGACACAATAAAACCAGTGTTATTTGTAAACAAAGAAATAATAATTTGGAATCTATACATCAAAGAGACAGCTAGACAGGTGCTTTTATTGTCATTCAGAACATCTCCAATCTTTCTTTGCATTTGTGCGAGTTATTTTTTTTCTATTTTACCCGTGATATTCCAAATACATACCACGTTATCAGCTTGAACTGACCATTGCCTTTGTCAAAAACTGCCCATCTAATTTTTATTCAAGACTAACTTTGTAGTTTAGATAAAGGTCATTGTGTCCGGAGGCTAGTCAGTTTAGAGTCTTAAGAGAAGGGAACCTTGTGGTCGACAAAGGTAGTTAACAGGTAAAATTACTCCTATCAGGTGACCATTAGGTCCACCAGAAGAATATAAATGCCGAGATTTCCAAAGATACCCTTGAAAATAAAGAAACTGTTGGTTTTACGAGTGGTCAAATAGAGGTTATTTCTTACCATTACAATTCTTTCTGACTCGTTTATTTTACCATCACACGTTTTCGGTTTCCGAATAAATAGTGAAGAGAGACATTAAATAGTGTGATTTGTAAATAAAGTCGTAAACCCAACATTAAGATGTCGGTTTACCAGAGTCGCTTTTATTTGTTTACAATTCTTACCGATTTAGAAACATGCTTCACATTACTTTGTAAAAGCTGTAAATAAAGATCATATTAGAGATTTTCAGGTGGACAGTTTGCGCCTTCTTAACCCCCCCCCCTCTCTACTCCCCCGCCCCATTCCTCTCCCAATAATGATAGCGAAAATAAAAATAAATTTCAAAACATCGGAATATAAACATGGATGCCTTCTGATCTTTTCTTTTTTGTCTTTTTTGAAATACAATTACACTGCTTTAGGTGAAAATCTATTTGTTGATAAATTAAGTATACCAACATACAGGCCTAGCTTGGATTTCAAAATCAAGAAGCATCAAAACTCCTTATCTGATTCATCTTGACAGTAAAACGACTTGATATTCAATCGAATTTATCAATAAATTAATTACAAAATATTTCTAGAATCCTTCAATGCAGCAGTGTATTTGATCTGAGTTGATTTGTGTCTGATCTCTCATACATAGGCATAGTCTATGGTAGTTTTGTGGCTATATTTACACTGCGTTTTTACGCTTCCACTTTACATATACTATATACAGATATCACTGAATAATGAGTGAAGGAATATCAATATAATACAATTATGTACCTGAATTGGTAAAATGAACCTTGAAATATTGGCATGAGACGAATATACTGATAATGTTTTATTGAAAAGTATATGTATATTTGAATATACATGTTACTTTCAGTCTTGTTCATATTATTGTTATATTTTTCTCTTCACTTCTGTAGCTCTTCATCATTCGAAGAAATAAAGGAAAATAGCTAATTTCTATGTTTATTTCTTCCAATATCTGAAATATATATGTCGACATGATTTCTTTAATAGTTTGACGGAAAAGACAGAACGGCGCAAATTTGAAAACAGATAGAGAAATAGATACATAAAGTTAAATAAATAAAACACGATCAATAGTTCTCAAAATCATTAAATCGATAGAAAAACGCTAAAAACAGAAATGTTCGATATGAGTGTTTTTTTCCCTATTTTTGTTTGTGTTTGTAGGTTGTTTAAGAACGCGCCGTTGCGCCTGTTGTCATTAGTTTAGAGAACCAGGTATCAGACATCGGTCACACTGCCCCACACCTTTATTAATGTCACTGACACATAGCTATGGACAGGAACTCAACAAAGCATTCGTTTGATCTCTGTGAGAGACGATAAAAGAAAATGACGACTGTAAAATAGTTTATTTCTTTTTTACAAGCAGGCCAATATTAGGTACCCGTCCTATATAAATACGTTTATTACCATTTTGTACACAAATACTGCCTCGATTCGTCCAATATAACGTTCAAACTGGAGTAAAGGGATTGTGACGTACTGGTGTCTAATTTGTAATGTCAAAATTTTCTTCACTGTAGCAAACATCCATATAGTCTTGTTATGACACGGGGACACGAGTACATGACCATCTGACACTGAAGTTACTATTGAAGAAGGAAATGTACTCAGACCTTACAATATTTAAGAATCATGTCACTATAGTAGTCAGTTATACAAACTACGACCCAAGTGTCTTTAATTTTGAAGTCAGGACATTATATAACTTACCCAAGGATCAGAGATTCTGTCCTTTCATGTGATATAGAGCGAAATTTCTCTTGTGAATATCATATTTATACTAAAATCCGTTCTGATTTACATGTATGTCTTCAAGCTGGTTTGTTATTTAATGGATGTTAAGGTACCTCCTGTCTAAATCGATCCATATATAAAAAAGTTTCATATCTTTAGCATATTTATCTAACACACCTGAAGTAAAAGCCAGAGTTGCAGTATATTTAGACACTGCCAAATCAAGGATGCTTTTTCTGACGTATACTTAGTTAATGCAAAGCCTGCAGTCTATTTTCCATTCACTAAAAAAAACCCAAAAAAACAAAAAAACCAAACATACAGCAAAAATAATGTATTTATGAATAATTGTATCATATTAATGTTGTTACAACGTATTTTACGCGGTTTCGCGTTTCTGTAAACCGAACACCTGTATATAGCGGCTTATAAGACAGGCACTACTGAAGAATAGTGATAAAACTGTCTAGTGACATATACCGGTTTGTACCAGCAACGATAACTCTGATATTTAGCCCTCGGTATAGCACATCATTCCTGTTTACCAGCGACTGTAGTCTGCCCTGTCCGGCCACTGCCTTCGGACATAACCTCTATATTGATAAAATGACTATATGTATACTGTAGTATTAATTGATAGTCATATGGGTTCATTTGGGTACATGGAATGTCGATCGATTAATGAACTGAATATGAATACAAAACTATTTTAGAATGAGTTTGACATAGTAAAGGGTTTGTATGATTCGGCACGAGATATAATATTGAATATTTTAATAATAAATGATTTTGAAGTGTCTTAGCACAGTATTTAATATTCGTTAATGATAAGGTAATCACCTGTCTCCGTGTATACGAATAGATCATTATGTATCATTTACTATCTTGTGGTATGAATTATAATCTCTATTTACATTGATTCATAACGAACTATTACACGTTCATCCCCTTGTGATAACGTATAATTAGCTTTTTGGTTCTGAAGAAGAAGATAACATCTTCATTTTGACCTGTTGATTGGTATCTTACCGTGATAAGGAGACACATTTCTTAATGTTTTAATTTCAATGTCCTGACTTCCGATTTAAACTCAAATTTTGATAACTTTAAGGAAGAACGAACTCGTACATACTCATACATAAAAGTTACCGGTACAATATCAAGTCCTTGGTCCTTTGAAAACTGAACAGATTGTTAGTGCCAAAGGATATTGTTGATGTCGTTATATCTATATATATGAAAGACATCAGATGTTTTAATTATAAAAAATACAAGAGAAAGGAACAAAAGCTGGTAGTTAGTGGTCACAGAGAAAGAAAAAACTGGGAGAAACGGGTGATTGGTGACAGAGGTAAAGTGAAATTACCTCAAAAGGAAAGAAAACTGAGAATGAACATGATGAACAAAGAGAGAAAAAACATAGTGATAAAGTAAAGACCTCCACCAGGTAAAACCACAGTCGCCCTGAACCCTCACAGAGCCTCTGCCCACCCAAAGTCGTCTCTGCTAATGTTTACTCACACCACACTGGTTAACCCGTAGCATACAAGCCCCAACAACATGGAGAACATGGCGGTTTGTCAGTATATGTAAATACCTCAACAATTACTGGGAAGAATCCTTACATAGATATTAGAACATTCCTGGGCATTGTTATCACATTTATTCAATATATGCAAACATAAATGTCTTGCACATACACACTGACAAGGCGGAGATCGTGTATTGGAGGTTAAGTTACAAATAACACTTTTATATAAGGTTAAAGAAACTTCAATGGTGTCATTGAACAGCCCTGCCCCCCTCCCCTCATCACAGCTGTCGAAAAATGTGCCATGTTATACAATGATTTGAAATTGTGTATAAAGTCATTCTCTACAGAACACATTGTCGTTAGTTTAATTCATGACACACTCTACAATAACAGAAAACATCTCGTTTCAACGTAACAACCTAAAGATAACTTTAAGGTCATACAAGTTTCCGAGAAGAAAATAGTTCTGTTTCATTCCAGGTTGTACACACATTATAATACAAATACATCCATTAGTTTGAATAGTATCTAGGCCGACATCGAGCTAAAACGGTGTTTGTTTAGAAGTCAAAAATTACACTTAACCAAGCGTTTGTTTTCAGGTTTTCGACCCAAATATGTAGGTTTTTTTTGGCAAAGGAATTTGTCCTGGCCCACGTCCTGGTCCGTAATTACTAGATGATAATTAATCATCATAAACAATGAGGTCGCTCTTCCCTCAGGTCACATGGAGTCGGCATCTGTTTCTATCGTAGATGACACAGCAGTTGTTACGTTGACATTTTCAATTTTCCTCCATATCCAGTCATTGTCCTATTACCCAATCCTTGGATAATTAGTCATTTCTCATAAGTATGATCATTTCCATGAATCTCTTTCTTTTTAAAACGTGTTTAGTGTCTTTCAAAAAAAAATATATAGTTACCTTTCCGATTTATCTCCTCCCTGCTTGACCCATACTTATGACAACAACAGTCCTACATATCATGTTAAGTTCACACCTCTTCATATCCCGCCACATTCCCAATCAACACACTAATATCATCTCACCTCCAAAACATACCCTGTCAAAACCCCTCTGCCATCACACCTCTTCATATCCCGCCACATTCCCAATCAACACACTAATATCATGTCACCTCCAAAACATACCCTGTCAAAACCCCTCTGCCATCTCTACCTTATAAAATCCATTGTCAATGGATGTCAATACCCATATATATCCCGTCACCTTCACTACATACCCCGTCATCTCAACCTGTACCCCGTCAACAACCTATATCCCGTCACCTTCACTAGTTACCCTGTCAGCTCAACCCGTACCCCGTCAACACCCTACATATCTCGTCACCTTCACTACATACCCCGTTATCTCAACCCGTACCCCGTCAACACCCTACATATCTCGTCACCTCCGCTACATACCCTGTCATCTCAACCTGTACCCCGTCAACACCCTACATATCTCGTCACCTTCACTACATACCCCGTTATCTCAACCCGTACCCCGTCAACACACTACATATTCCGTCACCTCCACTACATACCATGCTATCTCAACCTGTACCCCGTCAACACCTAATAAATCTCGTCACCTTCACTACATACCCCGTCATCTCTATCTGTACCCCGTCAACACCCTACATATCCCGTCACCATCACTACATACCCCGTCATCTCAACCTGTACAACATCAACACCCTACATATCCCGTCACCTTCACTACATACCCGTCAGTTCAACCTGTACCCCGTCAACACCCTATATATCCCGTCACCTTCACTACATACCCCGTCATCTCTATCTGTACCCCGTCAACACCCTATATATCCCGTCACCTCCACTACATACCCCGTCACCTCAACCTGTACCTCGTCAACACCCTACATATCTCGTCACTTTCACTACGTACCCCGTCATCTCAACCTGTACCCCGTCAACAACCTATATCCCGTCACCTTCACTAGTTACCCTGTCAGCTCAACCCGTACCCCGTCAACACCCTACATATCTCGTCACTTTCACTACATACCCCGTCATCTCAACCCGTACCCCGTCAACACCCTATATATCCCGTCACCTCCACTACATACCCCGTCATTTCAACCTGTACCCCGTCAACACCCTACATATCCCGTCACCTTCACTACATACCCCGTCATCTCAACCTGTACCCCGTCAACACCCTACATATCCCGTCACCTTCACTACATACCCCGTCACCTTCTGTATATGTACCGTCCACATCCCTTAGATACTCTGTCACCTTTTATAAATGTATCGTCCGTACCGGACCTATTTAAATATATGTATTTTTGAACCTACATCTCCTCACCTGGTCATACCTGAATCACACCCTAATTACCTGTTCCCTCTCCCGACAAATCAAATCATCTATCTGTATTTGTTAATTGTTATGTAAAACTGCGTAAACAACACCCACTCCTCTCTCTTCCCTGCGTCACAGAGGCACAGAACCGAAACAAAATTTATAAAAATATATCTTTAAAGTCGTCATGATATCAACCTCAGCAATCTTCCCAGAAAAAAGTTTGTTTTGAGCTCTGCAATACATTAAGTATTTCTTTGATAAAGAAATTACGCATGAAATATTCTGTTTGTAAAGTTTAGGATTTACCTTAATCCTAATATGTTTGTGTCTGGCAATAAATACCACTGAATGGCATTCATGATTGTATGAATGAAGTTAATGTTACATTCACGTATCATAACATTTTAAAATTATCCAAAGGTGAACAATATATGATGTTGTATCTGACGTTGGTGACATATTCATCACACATACAATGTATTAGAACGATGTGAATTTCATTACGTTTCGTACATTGTGTGGTACACATAATTCTGGATACAAACATCTTGTTTAACTATTTTAAGTAATACAGACCCAACATTAATTAATCACCAATAGAAAGACCAATGATTCTAAACTGTATTTGTTTTACAAAAAAAGTTATTTATTTATTTACGTCAATATCATGGCATTTCAGCAGACGAACCAAACATGGTATACCTTTGGATTGACCTTGAATATTAACTTAACTCTGATTGATTATAGTCATTGAAACATTGACGTAATATTGGAACTCTCTAACATCCGTCATGTTTAGGTATTACTTATGAGTATCCTTAAGGACTTCTCGGTTGACCCATGAAGTAGATGTTGGCCACAGGTGTGTTATATCTGATTATGTGGGTCTTACCTGTCATTAAACATAAAGGTTAAAATGTTACCTGTCGTTGTCTGAATATCTCAAAAATAAAATCAAATTTGAAAAAAATAATATGAAACGTGCAATAAATAAGAAATAGCAATCTACCTGCTAAACCGTCAATGTGTTACCGTTATATTCAAGTATATGTCTTTCAGGTAAAGTAGTTAGAAATACAAATTTGAATTAGTCAGCCAACAGGCCAAGCAGCAGTTAATTAAAATACGACGTGTGTATTCGTACCGCCATTTTTGAAAGATATCTGACGTAACAGAAAGCGATATAAATTTTTAAAAATGTAATTTTTGTATAATATCGTTAATTTCGAGAAAATGCTAAGTTCGAAACTCACCCCGTCGGTTCCGTTCTTTTCATTCATTTCATAAGCTGAATTCTTCATGATTTTTATATAAAGGAGATAGCTTTATCCTGTTTGACACAAGGGACTCCGTAAGTTATTACAACAGAATCAGCTCCACACATCCACACACTGTCCGTTTTCGTCACAATTTCTGTGAATGTATATGTGCTAAACATTAAGTTAGACCTATTTATACTACAAAGTATACTGTTTGCTCTCTTGGAATGACTGGAGGGCAATACCTCATCATAAACGTTCCTAACCTACACTGGCCCAGGTAGACGTTTCCGACCGCCTACAAGCGCATGTGTACTCAAGCGGAAATCTAAATATGTATGAGTTATCGTTAAATTACACGTAGCTTTAAATACTTATACTGATGAGTATTGTGTCTCTTTGCTACGTATCTTTTTTCCAAGTGATTTGAACCTGAAATCAATACTTGCTGGTTTCCTTTTCTCACATACTAAATAAATTCAAATCACGTTCAAATTTATGCAGCATGACCACATTCGAATATAAGAGACGGGGCATGTGTTACAAATCTTGTTAAAATTGAAATACTGGTTTTGAGAAAAGCCTATTAATTTACATATTTGAAAATGTCAATAGTTAATCCAGTGTTAACACTTTCAATGACAGTGACAATTGGATATGAACATTTCAGGGTTATATGTGGTCGCCAGGAAAATCTGAAAATACAACGATAAGACGAATAGATATTTATGAAATAAACTGATTCTCAATCTAACATACTTGCAGTAATGTTTTGAATTTGGAAACAAACACGGAAAAAGTGTTTGTCCAGATTTAAAAAGTAAAATTCATTCAACTTGATATCCAATGAAATCGTCATAGACATTTAATGACAACGTGGATACATACAGATATAGATATAAATTACTCTTCATAATGTCAGGTACTGGGTTTAAAATTATAGACAGAATTTTAGAACGTTTTACCAGTCAGCTAACAATATAGAATTTCCGACATCACCACTATACATCTATATTTAATTCAAAGAACGGGCTTTGTAGATTGTATTCTGCACAGACTCCAGAAAGGCGACAAAATACCTTTGATTGTAATTGCTTGACTCAGAGACTTTTACACATTTACTTTAATAGAATGTTTTCTTCCCTTCCACTAGTAATTTCTCACATTTCGTGTCATTCCATATCTAGTACAAGTAGATTGATCGTTATAGACACCGAGATCCATTTTAATTAAGTTTTAGTCTTGTATTCCCCTCCTTCTATTCTGTTTGTCAACTGGAATACCTGACGGATCATTCACTATAAACATATGTATTTTGGTTTTATCATCTGCAAATTACAACTTATTTTATCACTTGTCGTAGTTCTTAAATGGCTCAATATTCTTTTGGGGGTCCTTGAACCTAAACAAAAATATGTTAAGTCGTGTCAATAGTATTTGATTAAAACGCATATGAGACCATGGAACTTTGTTGTGATTGACAGCTGCATGCCACGCCTGCAGCAGTTGAATAAATCATGATAGTCATATCAACTGGTCAAACAAAACCATAACAAAGAGACTTGCTATAGAAACTAAAACTATGCTCTCATCGAGAACTCCAAGCACCGACAGGATAACATTTTGCAATTTGGGACAATAACTTTAAATATATACATAGTGAAATATATATGGTGCATATTCAATCTTATATAAGTTCATGCCTGTACAATATAGCATTCATACACCAGTATGTTGACAAAACACGAGCGCGTGATATACATACCTTCCAGCAAAGAATCTAATAAGATCAGAGATTTCAATCGCCATATGATGTGTTATTTAACATATAACCTGAAGGAGATAAAAGACATATTATTTATTGTCAACTACAAAGAAGAAGAAGAAGAAGAAGAAGAAGGAGAAAAAAAAGGAGAAGAAGGAGAAGATGATGATGAAAAGAAGAAGAAGAAGATGAAGAAGAAGAAGAAGAAGAAGAGAAGGAGGAGGAGGAGGAGAAGAAGAAGAAGAAGAAGAAGAAGAAGAAGAAGAAGAAGAAGAAGAAGAAGAAGAAGAAGAAGAAGAAGAAGAAGAAGAAGAAGGAGGAGAAGAAGGAGAAGAAGGAGGAGAAGAAGGAGAAGAAGAAGGAGAAGAAGGAGAAGTAGGAGAAGAAGAAGAAGAAGAAGAAGAAGAAGAAGAAGAAGAAGAAGAAGAAGGAGAAGAAGTAGAAGAAGAAGAAGAAGAAATGAAGAGAAAGAAGAAGAAGAAGAGAAGAAGAAGAAGAAGAAGAAGAGGAGGAGAAGAAGAAGAAGACGAAGAAGAAGAAGAAGAAGAAGAAGAAGAAGAAGAAGAAGAAGAAGAAGAGAAGAAGAAGAAGAAGAGAAGAAGAAGAAGAAGAAGAAGAAGATGAAGAAGGAGGAGGAGGTGGAGGAGGAGGAGGAGGAGAAGAAGAAGAAGAAGAAGAAGAAGAAGAAGAAAGGAGAAGAAGAAGAAGAAGAAGAAGAAGAAGGAGAAGGAGAAGAAGAAGAAGAAGAAGAAGAAGAAGAAGAAGAAGAAGAAGAAGAAGAAGGAGAAGAAGAAGAAGAAGAAGAAGATGAAATGAAGAGAAGAAGAAGATGAAATGAAGAGAAGAAGAAGGAGGAGGAGGAGGAGGAGGAGGAGGAGGAGAAAAAGAAGAAAAAATGAAAGAAGAAGATTTCTGTTTGCTATAGGACATTGTCGTATGATCTTGAAGTACATGTTCTAGTCCTTCAGAATTGTAAAACATTGCAACATTCCTCTTCTAGACAAATACGTTCTCAATTCTCATTATGTGTTGTTTATGTTTTCATTTTCACGTTGATGTCAATATTGTAAGTAATCTTATTGGGAGTTAATTTAATCGACACTAACATGTTTTCCTGAAAGTTAAGATGTTAAAAAATCTTATATGGTGTGTGTGGTTTTTATTTCAAAGTCGGCGACCCTAATTATTACTGTGTCTGTGGGGATAAATGTTTTTTGTACAAATCAGTCTTTTAACTTGATAAAAAACGATATGAAATCGAGGCAATCACGATGGACATACAATATTAGAAAAGCTCGCCGATATAACAATAACACATCCAGTTAGTCGAATATTCGATTGTTAGGTTCACAGTAGTTGTATCTTCAGGGATTCCCATCAATCATAAACAATATGTACATGTATGTATCTCTTATGACAAGAAACATCTGTAAAGTTCGAAGGTACGTAATACAGTTAACTCATACTGATAAACAAATATATATATCTATTGGAAAACATCTTATATACAGGGTGAAATACACGAACTTTGGCGCATCATCATCATCATCATCATCATCATCATCATCATCATCATCATCATCATCATCATCATCGTCGTCGTCGTCGTCGTCGTCGTCATCACCACCACCACCACCACCACCACCGTCGTCGTCGTCGTCGTCGTCGTCATCGTCATCATCATCATCATCATCATCATCATCATCATCATGTTACAAAAACTAAATTAATTTGTTGAAAGTGACATGAATATTGATGGATCGCTAACCTATCCGTTCGACATCCGTTTACGATCATCTAGTTTTGTTCAACGCTACTCGTTTTTCGATTGCTATCAACAATTCCTCACTGTAGTTACGAAACTGACGCCAATTAGAGTCAAATTGTATCCGAAGTACCCCGACTGATCTCCAATAAGAAATAAGAAATAAATGTCAAAAAATACCCGATTGATCTCCGATAAATCAGTCAATTCATACTGGAGTTACGGGACTGCTCTCCGATAACAATCGATACACGGTGCCGAGTTTCTCGCTTGTCACCCACCTCCTCCGCCCACCAACAAGTCAAGACTTGCTAGAAATGTTCCTGCTGCACTCCAGTGTTGATGTAATCAAGTACACAAATATTCCGATATTACATTGTTATGTAATAAATGGACCACCATATCCATTTATAGCTGTGTTTTAGCCTCCAATAAACGAGTACTTTTTGTTAACAATCAATATAGTTATGTAATGCCATTGATAAAACTACGGTAATGTTATCAATTTCGGTGCGAAGCGGATTTAATGTGTTCATAGCACAATATAAATGTCAATATTACACGAAAGGTCGATGTACTGAACACACCTGATTTATTTTTTTAAAACTTAAGGTTCTTAACATTTCCTCTTTTTTCCGAGACACTGTTTTTTTCTCTCTAACGTCACACTTCCACTCCCTTTTCGTCTTAGACAGTGTCCGTCCAGACCAAAAATATTATAGGTTCTGTCCCAGACCGTACCAACCCACAGCCTCTAGAATTGGTATTACTGCCTTCTGGTTGACGTTCATCTGCACGTCACGTTTTGAATTAATCTTATAGTGTCACGGTTCAGAATGTAAAAATCTATGTGACGTTTTTTTTCAGAAAATAATTTAACATTGAAATCAATGATTTTGTTTTGCAGTGATGAAGCTTTATGATAGTGTTTCTCCCCATTTAGTTTTGGACCTTTTCTGTGACGAGTTAGGGATTTCCTTTTCCTACTACGTAAGTCTATCCAATTTGAGCCCTGGGCACAACTGATGGATGCTAAAGGGCGAAGCAGCTGTATGATGCACTTAAGTCATTATTTGGCGACAGTGTATAAAACACAGAATTTGAATTGACATGTCCTTTTTACTTTTGTGTTTTGTACATTCTTTGGATCAGTGATGAGAACTGACTATCCGGTCGCCAGTATAATGTGACAAGGTTGATTACCAGACTACCTTGTCCAGGCCCCACTTGTATAAAATATCTCAATTTCAGATTTCCTCAAGCCGAGATTTTCCTCAGCTAATATCTCCTTGAAAATATCTTGTATGAAAATTCCTCAAGGAATTTCAGGATATCCTAGCCGAGGACTTCCTCCTGTTCCTTGAGAAAATTTTATACAAGCCGTTTTTGAGGAGATATCAGCAGAGGAAAATCTCGACTTGAGGAAATCTCAAGTTGAGATGTTTTATATAAGTGGGGCCAGGTTAATTACTTAATACTCATAAAAGGGCACCCGAGTGGCCCCATCAAGCC